GATATGAAATCAGGCCAAATGCAAAGACAGACCGAGGCTAGGGAGTTTCGAATCACATTTCGAACGAAGGTTTGAATACGAAAATGAAATCAGGTGATTCCTCCGAAGAATAACTCCCTACTCTGTGTTTATTATCGCTAAAGAAGAAAAAATCAGGAGAAAAGGCAGTGAACAAGAGGAAGAAGAAGAAATGTTTGTCAATTCTTTCCATTTATGTATAAATCCTTCCGTAATATTTTATATAAACCGCAAGGAATATCTTCTCTAAAGGTAAAGGAAGAAAAGTTGAATGAAAAAGAAGAACAAATAGGAGTTTCAAGTTTTCTTCCATTCTCTAATGGTAGAAGAAATAGTAAGTATTTAAATTACTGATATTTTGTTATTTAACTTAGAATATTTATATTATCATTTTCATCACTAAAGAAGTAAAATATTATTATCGATAGGAAGAATTCAAGCGAAGCACGATTAAATTCGATAGTGAAGGAAAGAAAAGTTCAATTGGAATAAAAGATTTTGTGAGGTAATTTTATATTATGAAGATTGATAGTGAAATAAATTGTGGGGGAAATTCAATGTTTATTTTTTATGATATTTGAGATATCCAAATTAGATTTTAATATTAATTAAAATCTTATGTTATTGTGAACAGTTAAAGGCTCTCATACTGAGATGGGTATTGGAGGTATATTTCAAAGGATTAAAGATTTGGGAGGAATTTGAAAATACAAAAATATTTAAAGTGAGTCATTTCAATTGTATTATAACAAATGCTAGATTCTCTTTTATGTTATTTCAATATCTTTTAGCTATTGCAATTACTACATAATTATAACATTATGTTGATTAGATGGTTAATATACGGATACATTACTTGAGAAGAATAAAAGAAATGGAATGGTGAAATATTTGCTATATGATTTCTATAGAATATTGTAATACACCTAAAGTACTTAATATAGCTCAAATGTTAAATATACAACCAACTTGAGATTGATTAAATTACTGAGAAATATGTATATGAATAAAATATACTTACAAATTACTATAATATATGAAGAAAAATGAAATAAAATAAATGATGATTTATATAAAAATAAATGTATTAAAATAAAGAAAAGGTGCACGCATGCAAATTACAGGAGTTCACTCTCGTATGGGTACTGGCTAGGGATGTAACATACCTGTACACATTAATTGGAAATGAAAATGATTATACCTTTATTGATACATTTAGACAGTGCTCTTATATTAATGGAAATAAAATGGATTAAATGTTAAATGAAAATTTATAAATAAAACCGAAAATGTGAAAGATGAACTATAAAATCTATAGTATATGAAAGAAGATGTATATGTTAACTTTGTAAGAAAGACAAAGAAATATGTATGTTTTATTTTGTATGTCTAACTTTGTATATGAAATGATGATTACCTACTAAGTTTACTTTGTAAACTCACTCCATTAAACAAACTTTTCATGTAAGTCTCTTTATAAAATAGAAATGGCTGAAAGAGATGATTTTGTGAACAAAAGAAGGCACTCGAATGATAACTGGTATAATCTGGTTTGTTTCCATGAACAAATGAATAATATGTTAGTGGCTCTTCAATGCTTATAGAATGATAGTTATTACTATTATGTGTAAATGTAGTAATTGTATTAACTGTCCCATTGTCAGTTCCCGTCTCGTTAGTTCGAATATCCGAACTGGGTTGTGACAAAAGCCAAGCCAAAAACTAACAAAGATAAAGAATGAACAAAAGTCGGCTACAGATGATATCAAGAATTCATTAGTAAACTAATTAATCTATCCTAGAATTCTCCAAATATAGCATTTGCGTCAAGCTTCGTAAGATAATTTATCTATTAAGTAAAAAAGTTTCATATTCAAACTACTTCTGGAGGTCTTAGGTATTTAAAATCAAATCCTAAAAAAGAGATTATCTACAACAGACATGAAACTCTAAATTAGAAGGCTATTCTAACATTTATAATATGAGATCACATATCAATAAAAGATAAACATTAGGCTAGTGCATTTTACTACGACGAATTTGAGTTTAGAGATATTGCATTATTGCTTAATGAATTTGTGAGCTTTATAATTAAAAAATTATCCTAGAAGATTTGAAAGGTAATTAGGAAGGATATATAAGGATATACTTTCATGACAAGTCTATTATTAGCATTGCAGAAGCTCCGACACAACTCACTGAACCAACATATGGAGTACAATAAACAACAACAACAATAACATCAAGCATTTATCCCACCATGTGGGGTCGGCTACATGAATCCTTTTTCTCCATTGTATTCTATTAAAAGTCAAATTCTCATTTTCACTCCTCGCGTTTCAACATGCAATCAACTCACTGGTATATTCACCAAAACTTTTCAATCTTATATTAAAAAAGATCTTGGACAAACTAGAAATAAAATACCTCTACCAAACAATTTGGGTGAAACTTTGATGATTTAAATGCAAATTCTAACGGATGGCCAAAAGATAGTTGGAAGGATCGGGCAAGCCAACACAGTAAGCATGTACAACATAAATGAAAGGTTGCATCGCATGGATTGCAGCAAAGTTGGCGGCAGTTGACAATAGAAATGGAATGAAGCATTTCACGAATTGCAGCAAGTTTGCAAAGTAAAAAATGGAAGGCTGCATCACGGCCTGCAACAAGACTAGTGGGCATAGGAAACAAAGAAAAATAAAAATTCTTTCAACTTTTTATAATTCTTCCAAGAATTATATAGGTTTCTAATATAATTAAAACAGCTTCATATATATACCCCTTGTATGAATGATAAATGAATTAAGCTTTTCAGCCATTCCTTTATTTTTACATTAATGATTCCCCTTTCTTATTTCTTGGAAAGGCATTGTCCATCCTTTACAAATTATCACAAGTATTTTACATGTCCCATAAATTGATCTGAACTTAGTTGTTATTCATTATTTCACTAGAACTTATGTTTTTAATGATCTCCTCAGAAAGATGATTGGTGGAAGGGTTGAAACTGGTACTAAGGACCACTGAACCTTTTGCCATTTCCACCACTAGTAATATATTTTAATGGCATTGTCAATTTGGGGCATACTCTGAATAAACTTCGAGATTATGTCTCCTAATCACCATTATATGTCATTTCTCCTCATGATTTTTAGTGTATATTTTATATTATTCTAACACTTAAAAAATGATATAGATCATATGAGACCCTTACTCAATACTTATAAGCTTTGATCAATATTATTTTTCATAAGATTGCTCCTTTCTTTTATCTCCTTTTCCACACCACCACATGTTTCTATTCATCCATAAAATTTTATATATGCCGCTACCCCTCTAAAGGTTTATACATGTTGACCGCGATTACCTTCAATAGAAATACCTCCATCCATACAGTTATTTTCTATTGAACATCCTCTTATTAAAGAGATCTCTTTAAAATACATTTGTCAATATCTTTGTAAAAAAGGCAAAAGCCATAAATTGCTCATCTCATTCACTCTTATATTTTATTTTATTAGTTATCTACTTATCTCCTTTCTAAATATATTTTTCTTAGCCATATAGACATTTTAGGAAGTGATAGAAAATCTTCAAACGAAATAGTATACACAAACATTAAGATGAATACTCTACTCAATCACCATAATGTAATTTGATTGCTCCACCTTCTGGACCAATTGACAGTCCTTAGGTGTTCATAGTAATTTCATCCTAATTACTTGATCGATCAGTGCATTGGTTGCCAAAAGGTTCATACTGATCTATGAGATAGACTATTTTGGCAGTTCCTCCTCAAATGCCGAGCTTAATTTCACCAGGATTATTGTATATGTGGTTAACAATGAACGTTGTTCTTTGTTACAAGGAATGTGAGTATTGACGTCCTTTACTATGGCCTTAATCAGGTAATTTATATGAAGTAATAACATGGATACTTTGCTAAGGGGAAAAATGACATATATTCGCTAAATAATATCAGAATATTGTGCTTAGTTTGAAAAATTATGGAAAATTTATGTTAAAGATTGACTCTTTTAAGGGAGTTTGGTCATCCAGTTATTCAGTATTTGGTTATATACAGTATAAATCATATTTCCATATGCATTGCCAATAACCTTGAGTTATGTGAAACAAATCAAACATATTTAGGTTGATTATCAATTAATTAAAATGTTGTATTTTCTAAGAAATTTATCATCTCACATATCCAGTTTAAAACAAATAGCTGATATTACTACAAAAGCTCTGGTCCTTTACCTTTCTCTTGATTATGCTATAATATATATATATATAGATTATAGCATAAGGGGGAGCTTTAGCATAAAAAAGCCAACCTAGAAAAGCATTCTATTTTAGGTGACTTGTGTATGTTTTTAGGTTATATCTTAGAATATTGTACACATTCCTTTATTATAAATAAAGAGGTGCTCTAGTGAATAATATACAAAAGAAATTGATTTCCTCTCTAACAAGAAAGATCTTGGATCAAGAAACTTGCGTCTAAAAGTTGAGTATGGTGTTAAATCTGCACAATAAAATGAAAAATATTGATAGCACTTATACACATTTATGAATTATGCCCGTTGCTTGAACTGCTTAGCAAAGAAATAGAAGTGATTAGTGCCAATGATCCGTTTATGCATCCTAGGTACTTAAACATGGCTAGTGATCTGACTTATGAATCATCCATAGCTACTGACTTTCGAAAGGGTGGCCAACAATTAAGTAAACCATGCCTTGAAATAAATTTTACATTTTCGGACAAAAACATTAAGAATAATGTGTGTCAATTACCACAAAAGATTTAATTGGATTCCTTTCTTAACAATATTTTTTTCTATTAATCTAAAATAATAGAAAATCATTAAAAAAAATGATAGATGCTAGACAAAATGGAAACTAAACTGCCAAACTTATGGTAACCATAAAGGTCAGGGAAATTTGTTAACATAGTGTGAGGAAATGAGAAATAGTGCCTGGATGATCAAAGTTGTATTCATGAACAAGAGCCACTTCATCATCTGTCAAGTCATAATAGAAAGATTCCTGCATTAACAGAACTTAGAGATCAGTGAAAAATAAATATAACCATCATTAGATAGATAATGTAAAATAAACCATTAAGTTGAAAACTTAACAAAGATAGTGTATACACTACTACTTAATGCCTTCTTGCAATATCCCAATTGCAAGGAGTGAGTGGATACATTACTGAACAGATATTGGAATTATATAGGACACTAGCTGATATTATTCCAGGATTTAGATTTCCAGCATAGCAATAAAGTATCTGATCTAACTAAATAGTTCAACTATCTCAAAAGATAACTATCTATGTGATGCCATTTGCTGTATGTCGTCAAATAGTTGAAGGTTAGACTGATGAGAACTTTAAATATTTGCACTTTCAAATTATCATGAATTAGAAGTTTACTCTATTTCTGATTTTCAAAGAAGATTGGACTTCGTTGTCATGCTATTTCAATATCCATAGTGCTATGTAAAACCAAATTATTACGACATTAAAATTTTCTACCGCCCATATTTTCACTCAAATTATATCTTTTGCACTTGAGAAATTAGCATAAACTGCTTAAGCATTCTACAGATGCTTGGAGGATTCAAAATGTACAGCTTGAAGAAACCTTGTATTCTATGCTTTTCTTTCTCTGTAGTTTCATTCAATTATCTATAGACACTGCAATTCCATCACCAACATTGCATCAACTTGTTAGCTAAGAAAAAAATTTAAATTTGTTTTTCACCTAGTTTCAACAACTTTTTGTTATTATTTTTGCACTTGTTTCATAAATTGCCTGCATATTTGCACCATCTAGATGAACTTTCTGCCCACTTTCTCCTCATGCATTTCATCTCTGTATCAGTCGCTAAATTTTCATCTCGTGAAAGGAAAAAAATTAACCCCATTTTTTCCATGCATATCACACATATTCTAGATCTACCACTCCATTTCTATATTTTCTCTCACTTTCATCTAATTAACTAAACCAGGATTTACATGCATACCACTAAAGTATGCTCAATTTACGTATTTAGTGCCCAGACACACTTATTTAAACCGGCATAGCTTCTTAGTCCCGCAAAAATAGCAATGTCTGAGGGTATTACCATGGTTAATTATGATTTGTTCTAAACCAAAAATCAATATACTCTCTCAACCGAAAACTTCTTCCTCTCATTCATGCAATTCTCTTTCATGATGAGCCCTGATAGAAGGATGAGGAGACTTTATGGTGGTTCTTGCCATAGAATCTATACGAGAAAAATATCAAAATGATCCCTCAACTCTTTGTGAGGAACCAAAATAGTCTCTAACTCTTTTGAGGGACAAATTTGATCTCTTAACTCTTTAAAATAAGATATTTTTTGTCCTAACATCTAATGTTGGAGTTAATGGTGTTAAATGTAATGTCATTTTGGTCATTTTTTTAATTAAACATTAATTAAAGGTAATTATAATTTTTTAAAAAATTATTAAATATTTTCTTAATAAAAAAATTAATATTAATATTAATATTAGTTTTAAAAATTTTAGTCATATTTTATAAAATATGATATTTATTGATTAAGAGAAATCAAATGCAAATAGATGTTACTTTCAACTTAGTCACACATATTTTTACCAATCATATTTTATAAAATATGACTAAAACTTTTTAAATTAAAACTATGATTATTATTAATTTTTTATTAAAGAAACGTTTAATAAATTTTTCTAGAAAATTTATATTTAATAATGTTTAATTAAAAAATGACCAAAATACCCTTACATTTAACATCATTAACTCCAACATTGGATGTTAGGATAAAAAAGGTCTCATTTTAAAGAGTTGAGGGAAAAAATTGATCTTTCAAAAGAGTTGGAGGACAATTTTGATTCCTCACAAAGAGTTGAGGGGTCATTTTGGTTATTTTCTCGAATCTATAATATACATGACATAGAGGGAAGAGAGAATCACTCAAAGTAGAGAGTGTGTCAATGCTCTTATATTTGAAATAAAATCATCACTACAAGAATTGATGATGCTACGTCATTAAATAGAATAAAATTATAACTGCCTTATGTCATAACATCTAGCCTATAATTTTGTGCCTTCTACACCAACTTTCTACCATCTCTCCGCTCATGCATTTCATTTACATTTCAGTTCCTACCATTTCCATCCCATGAAGGGAAAAATTGAGGACCTTATATTTTCTAGGCATATTTCATCTATTCTGTCTCATTCCCCACATTTTCTCTGATTTTCATCTCATTTGCTAAATGGGATTTACATGTATACTGCTAACTTATGCTCTATTTACATATTCAATTCCTAGATTCACCAATTTACACCCACACAATCATATTCTCCTTAATATTGCAAATATAGTAGTGTTCGAGGGCATTACCATAGTTAATCGTAGTTTGTTCTAATCCAAATACTCAATACCCTCTTTAGATGAAAACTTCAATTCTCATTAATACTTTTCTCTTTCACAATAAATCCTAGAAAAAAGGATGATACTTTATGGTGAATCTTGTCGAAGAATTTACAACATAAATGACTAGTAAGAAGAGTGCATTGCTCAAAGCATGGCTTATGGTCAGATTAGAGCATGTCAATGTTGATACATTTGAGATAAGTTCGTCATTAAAGGAACTGATGAAGTTATTGAATAGTTAAAAAACTTAATTGGTCGTCAAAACATCATGCCGACAATTTAAAATGCAGGGTAACATCATAAGCACAAAAGTAAAATGCCAAAGACATAAAAACTACACATCTAAATGAAAAAAAAAAACTAAAATTAAAATCATCTTTCCATTTGATCATTTTACACAACAAATGCTTTTTTATGATTGTAGATTTGATATTTGAATCATTGAGGAATAAGCTTAAACTTCTTTAAAGATTCCAGCATAAGTTAAGAGTATTCAACATCAACAGCTAGAGAAAACTATGCAATGTTAAGTCATTAGAAAGCAAACAGAAAGCAAGGTTATAAGTATAAGCTCTCTTGTGGCTAGTCAATGTTTCTCGAGGCATTTTGTCAGGAATATTAAACTTGATGATGCCTCTGGTACAACCTGTCCAGTCCAGTGTAAGAACCACTTCAAAAATGCATAACAGATGATATTTTACCATTATGATCCATGAAACAGCTTTAGCAGCAATCAAATTAAATAGCAAAGTAGAATTCAAAATACTTGGTTGACAAGAGCAACTCTTTGGTCATGAAGTTGATCAATAATCATATTACAGACTGTTGTTTTTCCTGAAGATGCACCACCAGCAACGCCTGCATAGATTGGAAGGATTATCTTGCTTTCTGAGATGCGATTCAAAACAATTAAATTATAACTTTCAGAAAGATATACGAGAAAATAATCCACAGGGATCCTCATAGCACAAATAACAGCAACCTTGTAGCAAAAACCCATACTAATTTACACCAACTTGCTTAAACTGTTGACTAGCAAAGAATTCCCATTGAAGAATAACTAAACACATGCTTCCGAGAAAAAAACAAATTAAAGATACTTCTTGCAAGAAAATTTTTCTTGCATGGTTTATTGGAAACTTCTTTTTTCTTTTGCATCGTCGCCTATTGGAAGTCATAGGAAAGCAAGGCAGGTAGAGTGATTAGGATTTCCTAATTAAGGCATGGAGAAACATGTTCAAATTACATAAATAGCCTCTTTGCAATGCAGAGATTAGGGTTTTGATAGGAAACACTTGTAGATCTCAAGTATTTCCAATCAATCTTCGGAAAACATCGAGAATTCTCCACACAAAACCACAAAACACTAGATAATTTGTATTATTTGATGAAAGGGAAAAGGAAAATACCAAGATACAATTGATCCTCTATGTTTAAAATTGCGTATTCGGGTATTAAGGCGTTTTTCATTCGTGAGGCGAGGCGTAAGCCTCAAGGCGTTTTGAGGCGTAAGCCTCAAAATCAAAAGATTGCGTAAACATAAAATGATAAATTTTTTATATACTAATGAGTGAATAATATAAAACATAAAAAAGCATAAGATATGAAGTGAAATCAAAATATCCCAATAATAAGACAACATGAAATATAGTTCAACTCAAAATTCTATCTTTTTATTTAATTTCTAAAAATAAATATCAATGACATATCACATAAGAACTCATAAGTTTTTAATATTTTTTAATCGGACACATTTTCGGCGTGTCCGACACGTGTCGGAGGAGTGTCGGACGAGTGTCGTGTCGGACACGGTGTCGGACACTGCACGCCTCTTTGAGCAGAAGTGTCGGTGCATCATAGCATTCGGCACATACAGGAAGCGGACATTTTAGCCTCTGTTCGCGTACCCTTCGTACTGGCCGGACCGGTCCGGTTTAATAATAATCCCTTCCCAAAGATCCACCTTATCCACAAGGCGGAAGACGACACCCTCCTCAATTCCTTCTTCATCACAAACGATAAGAATCTGAAGAGTTCGGTCCTTACACGTGTGCCCCGGCATATACCTCTTGTCACATCTGAAACAGAGCATTTCGCCCTTTTCTCTTATAATTTTGTTTATGTGAGCTTTCTTGAAGTTGCCCTAGGTCTTACTCCTCCATTCTTCTCCTTTGAAGTCTCCCGAAAAGTACCCGGTGTCAGCTCCTTAGGTGCAAGAAAGATGATGTTCCTCTTGTTCGGATCTCCTGAGCTACTGCCACCCATCACTCTCTCCAGGTGCCTCTGATCCTCCACTAATTGAACTAGCTCCATAGCCTCTCCCAAGTCACAAGGCCTCATTATTCTAACCACTACTCGGATCTCTAGTATCAATCCCTTCATGAAATTTACCTCTAACACTCACATGAAGGCGGTTCGATCAGCTAGCAAGATACTCAAATCTCTCTTGGTACTCCATCTATGAACCATCCTATGTCAAGGCGAAGAGCTGCTCGTAGAAATCTCCTCCCTTGCCAGTTTGAAAACATTCCATCAAACAATCCTTGAACTCTCTCCAACTTTGTATGGGTCGTCGCATGTATCTCCACTGGTACCAAGACAAAGCCTTCCCTTCCAAACATAGGCCCAATGCCATCAGTCTGTCCTCCTTTGTCATCAACCCAAAGATGGGCATCTTCAGCTTTCTCACCTTCGGGTCATCCCTATTTCCCATAAATCCTCTATAGTCTCTCATTCCTTAAAGAGGAGGTGCCCCCCAATTATCATGCTCTTTCCTTCGACGCTCATACCCAGATCCTTCCTCAAAATCCCCTCTTCTTCTTTCAAAATCAACACCCATGCAATCGAAATCATCCCCTCTCCTTACAAATTCAACACCCCTTCTTACGTAGCCAATGCTCATCTACTCACTAGAAAGTGGTTCGAGAGGATGCATTCTGTATTATCCCTCCAGAATCTCCACTTCTGGATTTTCCCTTCCCCTAAATATGTTAGGGTTCCCACCTCTTCCATGGCCGCTGGTAGTTTCCTTTGCTTCCGATATCACCGGTTTGAGTTTGGCTTCAAGCAATTTCTTCAACATATCTTCCACTACGAAGAATTTTCCCTCCATCCTTTCATTGACGGATGCGATCTGATTTTGAAAATCAGCAATCTTCTCCTCAAAATCTGCTTTGAGTTGCCAAGTTCTCCCTCTAAAACTTCTACTTTCCTTCCGTCCATTGGTTCCCTTTAGATCGACGTGCTCTGATACCAATTTGATAAGGAACACCGGTAGATCTCAAGTATTTCCTATCAATCTTCATAAAACAACGAGAATTCTCTACAAAAATCCACACAAAACCATAAAACAATAGATAATTTGTAATATTTTGATGAAAGGAAAACAAAAAATATCAAGATACAATTGATCCTCTATTCGAGAGGAGGATCTTTCTCTCCCAAATCTCTAGACGCCACTAGAGCCCAAAGAAACTAATAGATCTCAAATTTCAGCCAAATTCAAGATGCCCTAACCCTAGGAAAACCAACTATTTAATGCATACAATTCAAAAGAAAATTTCTAAACAGTCTCTTACATTCAAATTTCCCTCCCAAACCCCTTAAAAATCCTTCCAAAACAGCTCCCTAACCCTTGCAGCTTGCGTTCGATGCATACAAGAGGCGGACATTTCCGCCTCTATTCGCGTAAGTTGGTCCGAAGGGACCGGCTGGACCGATCCAATGGAACTGTCTAACGGCTTTGTACATTAACCCCTCCATGATTTGGGAATGCAATGATGATACCTCTTAATCTATGAATGAGGATGTGGAAAGTCTAATGGAACCGATATGATATTTAAATTAGGATTTATGTGGAATACTTAGGATGCAATAATTTTATGGATAAAATGAAAGAGGAACAAAGAGGGATTAACACTGATTAGTTGTCTTCATTTAGACACAGTGAATAGGTTCTAATCACAAAAATAGCATCTCTATAATGCAGGGATGAGACTGTACATCAACCCCTCCATGATCCGCTTCTCTACTTCATTGTTAATGGGCTTGAATTGAGATTTTAACAATCTTTTGAAATTCGACCATGTAAAAATTAACCAATCATAATTTCTAAATTGTAAATTCCATGGCACTAAAGGAAATGAGTAAAAATCATAATCGGAAAATATTATTTTCTTTCTATTAGAATGACCGTACACCATGAAATACATTTCAAGAAGCACAAACAAGTTATTAATGATCTAAATATTGATGGTGACATTGAAGGCAACTCCAATTTTGCCTAAGCCTTGAAAGGTTAACAAGGGTCGTTATGATGAAGTTGCCAACTTAACAACAAGATCTACAAGGCAACCATCATAATAGCTATTTAGGTGGACATCTACTTGGAAAAAAAGCGAAATACAACGCCAGACACATCAATGGAGCTCGATACCTTCGCATAATGTGGCATAGCAAAGAATTATAATTTATAAATATGTGATTTTTCTCTAACTTATAATTTTGTTATTACTAATATCTTATTTAAGAAAAGAGATGAGCATCTCATCACTTATAAAAATAAATATAGTAAAACTCATATTAATTATTTTTTGTAAGAAAAATAAATCATTTAGATTGCATAGATTATAAAGCTAATCCGAGTGAAAGTCTATGTACCCAACAGGCCAACACTGCTTATTAGTGTTGGACTTTAAAATGAAGGGGCAGATTATGAAAAATATAGTATATAGTTATTCTAGGATTAGATGGTGGCATTTAAAGAACTCTAAAAAAATATCTTTGAGAATAAAATTCACGATATTAAGATTTTGTAGGTGCATGATGAAGCTAATGTTATGGGGAAAAAAATAACTTGCAATATCAAAAATGTTGCAAATAATGTGCTTGAAGTATTAAAAGAAAAGTTTTTAATAGTAAAAATAATTGGTGGTGTAAAACCCGAAAAATGCCAATTTTAGATCTCGCCCGCTTTTTGATGCACCGCGACGAGATTTAAGTGAATTTTTCAAAGTCGTCGGAATTTGACAAAAATAATTTTATAAAATTCTAAGAAATTTAATATATATATATATATATATATATATATATATATATAACTTATATTTAATTTTGTTTATTTTGAGAGATAAAAATATTAGAAGTTTGAGCATACCTAAACTACCCATATTAATATTAAAGCGAATGTGAAGCATTGGAGGGCAATTTGGTCTTTGGACTTATCCCTAATTGTCCAAGCCTCTTAAGGGACCGAAGGGATTCGGTCCCTTCTCATTCCCGCTAGGCCGAACGAAGAGAAAGGGAGACGGACGGAAGGAGGGCGGCAGGAGCAAGTCGACGGCAGTAGCTAGGGCGGTTTCCGACAGCCGTTCGTGAGGGAAATTGTAGGGGAAAGCCTAAGGAGCACTAAGGTATGTTTCTAAACCTAGAAATCTCTATCTTTCCCTTGGATTTTTGAGATGAAGAATTTAGGATTTTGTGGAATCATTGAAATTTCTTTAAGAAATTAAGAGGGAAGATCTATGAAACGATTTTATACATGAGAATGTGCTTTTCTCCAATAATTTTTAAGATTTTTAAAATTAGGGTTTTTCCCATATGTTGATTTTTATGAAATCTTTTAACAAAGTTTATTCCTAAGGGTTGTAGGATTATTCTAATGCTGAAATTTTGAGATTTTTCTCAAAATATTATTTTCCAGATTTCTAATTAATTTAAATCCGAAAAAAGAAATTAAATTAAATTAAATTAGGATTATGATAAAGAGTAAATTTGGCTAAATTATGTAATTGTATAAAATTATGAATTTTTAGAATATATATTTTGCTTTATGTGATCATTTGGAGAGAGGGAGAGGG